CATCTGTCATCTTTCCAAGCCCCCTTCAGGTGCTTCTCATCTGTGTGTGTGCATCATTCTTTCTACCATCACAGGACCTAGCAGTCCCAGACAAAAATGTTGACCCTAAAAATGCTAGACACAAGTCAAGCTAAACAAAATATCAGATATTTGATTAAAGAGTTGAAGTACAACACTATATACAATGCATGAGGGAGGAGTGAAACAATAAGAGGGCACATCAGCAGTCTGAAGTGTGAGGTGCCTACAAAGATGCTGGAACTTCACCAAAGTAGCAGTAGTGAAAGCAATGACTACATCTCAGCTTTTGGTGGCTCAGCTAGATTATTACCAACCCTGGAGGAAAACAAATACCAAAACAAACAAAAAACAAGTTCCCCTGCCCCCAAGAAACATTCATACCTCCCCATACATGAAGGAGAATAGCTTAACAGGAGGAGGGTTTCCTTCTTATCCTCCTTCCATAGCAGCAACTCTCTCAAACAAGAGCTCACAGGCACTTACAAGGACCTGGCACACTATATATAGCTACTGCTTAAGAATTTATCAAACTGCACTGAAAGTGGGAGTTGTGTGCCTTTATCTCACATTTGCAATCTAATCAGTGTGTCAAATAAATGTCCCCCATGCACACGGCATGACAGGCAAAGCTGTTGTAAAGAAAGACACAGAGTTTTATTTACAAAAGTAGTACTATTTCTAAAAAGCTGTGCTTCTCATACACATCAGTTGTTTTCCTGAGTGCTTTACAGGAAAACACCTGCTAATTAAATGTTAATTTGTTCTTTTACAATACAAAGCATTAACTACATCAGTGTGTAGATTAGAGACAGAAACTGCCACGCTGCAGTGCATTTTGGCTTTAACCTATGAAGGAGACACTGCTGTCAAAAAGCAAATCATAAATACTATCTACAAATGGTACTGTAAGTGCTAAAACCCTAAATTTTAAGATTAACTTTTACCTGAAGGTGAACAAATAAATGTAACTGCCTGCTGCGCAGAGGTCAAAAACCTGCCTAGTAGCCTTGTTGAGAATTCACGCACGAGTAAACTCATTTTTGCAAAAGACACAAGACACGGTTTTATTCTGCAATTGATCCACTGTTACAGAGGAAAAGCTGTCATAGTCACAGCTATTTGCAATGCCCAACATAACACAGGCTGTGTATTTCTTTTAAGTTCATGCTTATATGAATAAGATCTTGTCTTTTTATTAAAAGCATGCCATAGCGATTTCAAAGCTGGCAATGATGGACAGAACCCATCATAACCCGCTCCAAACTGTTTCAGCAGTTAATTATCCTGTCAGGAATAATGTCCTACTTTTGTCTTTGTCTAATGTTAAGTTTCAGTTATTCAAGCTCATTAAACACTTGTATCTGCCGGATGGAAAGACCATCAACATCACTTTGTCAGGTAGTTTCTTTTAGACCAAGAAAACAACGATCGTTTAAGATCCTCCTCAGCATTTCATTTAAATCGTTTGCTAATCCCTCTATTGTTATTACAATTTTATTGCTAACATTTTTCTTCAAATCTTGATGTTCAGACTTGACAAAACACTGCATCAAGGGGCCAAATCATATATTGACTCAAAAGTCCCTCTTGCTTTAACTTTGCTAATCTGCTTATTTATTTTCACACTCTATGGTTGTTGGGGTTTTTCGTCAAATAAAGCCATTGCTGCTTCAGAGAATTTTCTATACGTTCTTTATATTCCAAAGTATCCGCACATGGGATCAGGTTGATTCCCGATCAGGTGAGGCAGGTAGCATGGGGAAGTGATAAACTGGTAAGAGGTCAGAGATCAACTGAACTAACTTGGTCTAAGACCGAGCTGGTTCCTGTGAGGACAGGGAGGACAGGGCCCCCCTCCCAGAATGGGTGCAATATGGAGCAAGGTGCAAATGTTGTCCAAGTAGCTCTTGGCTTTGTGAGATGGGTCCACATGGGGAAGACAATGGCAAGCCCTGGAGGTACCCGGCTTTATGTGGCAGAGGAGCCAGGCAAAGCAAAGCTTGAGACACTGCTGGTATTCTCAAGTGAAGTGCAGCTGCCAAAGGACTGGAAATCATGGCATTACACTGTGTTAGAATGCATACATTTTGTTTACTGTAGGTGTATAAAAAAAATGCAAATTGGTTTATATACATTATCTTCAATTTCACATGCCTCAGATACAAGGACTTGTAACTTTCCATTTATATTTTGAGACAGACATATTGCTTCATTTGAGAATCTACTTATCATGTGTTATGTTAATTTCCATGTCCCATTTTCTTGATTAAAATGTGTTGCAGAATTTTATGGAAGTCATGCTACTACTTTACTAATTTTATTTACATCAACCAGCTGGTAATCTCATCACAGAAGACACGAGTACCTAGTTTTCAACCTCCAGTTTCTGCACATTTACAAAGAGCAGAATTAACCATTCTTATTACTTTTCTTAGAATTTTTCTTCCTTGAGTCCTGTTCCAACATTTGCATCACATTAACACCAGTCTGATACACCCATAACCAAATGTGCCATTTCATTTACTTTTTCTTTTGGTAAATATTAGTAGCTTTTTTCCAAATCCACTGGAACGTCCTCAGTGCCCCAAAAATTCTAGCACTGCCCCTGCCTTCGTCCCCCTCCCCCCAAGATTATTGGTAGCTAAGAAAAATTTCCATGCAGCTTTTTAAACTCTGGAGTTCAACATATCCTGACTGGCTAATTTTATAATGTCTAGATTTCACAGCTCCAGTTTCATGTCCTCCTTAGTTGCTAGAATAGAAGTACATTATGACACAACTACACCTAGTTTTCCCCCCTAAACACAAACCAAAAGCACTCACCGAACACAGCTGCTTTTTCCATTACAACTGATTTTTTTATCACTTCACAATAATAGCTTTATACATGTTCTCAACTGACTTGAAGACTGGTCACTGGCGTTCTACCTCCTGGCCTGAGATTCTCTGCCTTTATATCATTTTGCTTTCTTCAGCCATCTCCTGCAGTTCCTACTTCTCATTTATGACAACCAACATCAGCTTCTCGCTTCTTAAATTTTGGACATGCACACATACAAATGCATGCCTAATACCTGTATACGTCTAAGTATATACACCTGCCTTCACTTTCCTTCAACGCAATTTTTAAATTACGATCTTCTCTCGTGATTGTGGCTTTCACCAATTTCTGCTGAAACATTCTCAAAAATCCTTTAATTCTCATTGACTTCTGCAACCCACACAATGACATTCCAAATCCAAACGGAAAAGAAATGTAATGTCCAACTAAAAGACAGGAAAACTACAGATAAACAGAAAAAAACCAAACATTATCTGTATCATTTTTATGCCTTACAGTCCTTGATGCTTGATGTAGCTATGAGCTCCATTATACTCTCATGCCACTCACCCCTGAATCAGTCGTCTTCATAGAGACACGGTCTGCCTCAGACCTCTTTTTGCATATGAAAATCCCAGACCACACTAAGTTATTCAGCTCCCATCTGTACTTTTCTACTGTTCACCAAAAGAGAAAGCTACATACCCAGGAAGAGTACCAACTGATGTAAGTGATACTCATCATGCAGGTTCAAGAATGCCATTACTGTGAAAAACTTGACTGTGTTACCCAAAGGATTAAATAGATTATAGTCTTCATATTATTCACAAATTTCACAGTTGAAAGAACTCTCTAGTCATGATCAAAATTGTGAGTATGGTATCCCTCTAAGTCAACAGAAAGACATTTTTGTTTAGAACTCAAATAAAAACACAATTGCTATTTTTTTCCTGTAACATTGATCAGTCCTGTCCCTGGTGGGGACAGTGGCGGTTTGTTTTAATTTTGAAATACATATGTGTGTCTCAAAACTCTCACTGAGTTAATTACGTCCTACTGAATCTAGCAAAAGAATCAACACCCTCCATTTCACTTGCCTTTTTGCTAAATGTAAAGTCTTTCTCCCCACATTATCTGAACTGACCAAATACACTTCTAAGCAAAGATTTATGAACTGAAGAGCATAGTACAATACAAAATAATTATTTTTCCATAATTCCAACTTTATACCTTTGTCTGAAGTACTGCCTACTTTATATTAGAAAGTTCTCAAACAGGCTCACATGAGTTACAAAGCTGAATATAACTAGTATCAGGGTGTTGAACACTTCTGGTTCCCACTGTGCACAGTAAACAACCGTAATAAGCCGTTCTCTGGATTACCTTTACCCACGGTGGAAGTAGAAAGGTCTGGTGAGAGAACTCACAGCAAACTTTGCAGACCTGAAGGGCTGTTTATAATAGCTATATGGCAAACACCAATACAGTTTTAAAACTCTGATAGCATTTGTCCTGCATATTCCTACTTGTTCACCAAAATATGCCAAAATCTCTTATGATACACAGTTAAATATCTTGTACTGTAGAATGGGGAATTGCTGAATATCATACACTTTTCAAGTCTCCAGTCCTGGAAAAAATCATCAAATTAAGTTTCATGAGCATTTTCATGAGGCCAAAAATTCCTGAAAAATTACAATTAATTCTGCTACAAATACATTTTTATTCCATTTATGCACACAGCTCTTTTTATAGCTGTTAAACCTCCCCTCTTTCCCCTTTTTAAACACTATCAAAACTGTCAGGAACTACATTTTACTTTTTAGCAATCATTGCACACACATCATGATTCCTAGAATTTAAAATGAAACTGTTGATGGTTCAGATACTCTTAGACTGTCAGTAGTTTGGCAAAGTATGTAATTCATCATTTTGGAAGAAATGACAGTACATTCACTTGTGCAATATGCTTTTAAACTTCCTCTCTCTAATTTGAAGGTGTCAGTATTATACTCGGCTTCAAGAGAGATATTTTTAAGGCTTGCAGGTTGACTTGTCACATAGAAATTTGTCAGGTAGTATTTTGTCTTCATTAAGGTTCATTCTCATAAAGTGATTGGCCTGTGATATTCCCCAAAGACAATACATTCTGTGTTACCTGACGGTAATGATGTCCGTGTTAAATTTTCACTTTCCTCATCAGTGCTGCCGTCATAGTAATTTTCTTCCCCTGTAACCACCTGAGTAGTAGCTATACTACCCCTTGGAAAAAATAAAAAAGAGAAAAAGCACATCTTTGCCATCTATTCTTCCTGAAAGAACTTATAATTATTACGCAATGCAAGCTGATATAAGTCAATATATCGTCCCCCCACTGAACAGCTTAGCATATTCATATACAAAGACAGACAATAAAAAGTCAAGAGATAAAAAAGGCAGGATAGAAACAGCAAACAAATTAAGGTGTATTGTAGCATTAAAATGATTCATCTTCTCTGGATATTTTTTAAATAAAATGTACATAAAAACATTTAGATTTAAACATTTTTGTTTCCCAAAGGATAAAAGGAATCAAGTAATTCCGGAAGAATGCATATGAAAGTACCATGCTCTGATTGGGAAATTAGCTGCAACCTAATGGAAAAAAAGAAGAGGACAGATTCATGGAATATTTAGCTCTTGGCTACAGCATCCAAAAAAATATGCTGCTATTTGCAGTGACACCACTAAGAACCTTCTGCTGTCATGACCAGCAGTACTGTTTTGGGTAACCAAGCACTTAGCCAGGAAGAACTGTCACCCACATTTACAGCCAAAGAAATGGAAACTAAACTAAACTATGCATAAGGTATGATACCAAGTAACTCAGGAAAAATAAGAAATACCTTGTACATTTGGCATCTGCTGCAGATTCTTTAGCTTCATTCAACAACCTCTGTAAGTTTCTTATCTTTGCTTTCTTTTCATTCAGCACCAAAACAAACCGATTATAAAGGTCTGCTTCTAGTTCTTCTTTAGCTTCCACACATTTTTCCAGCCTACAATGCAAAATTAACTGTCAAACCATTTCTTTTTAAAACTCTGTTTCCTGGAAGACAATTCTGTACCGAGGCCAGCCTTCCTATTGCAGGAATCCCCATATCAAACCATGCATGACCAGTCCTGCATCTTCTGTCTGAAACAGGCCAGAAGAAATGGGTTTTTTTTCACAGAAAACTGCAATGAACTTTGCTACTAGAAAGGGGAAAGTTTTCAAGGGAAAAAATTTCTCTTCATGCTTTCTTGATGGGTTCTTGCACACAAGCATGTGAGACAACTAAAATTTAAATAGGCAAGTGTTCTTTAGGTTCAGTGCTGAATTCACCATACTGGGCATAACTTAGCAAGATACACATAATAAGATTACAAATAGATATGATTAAGCTTGACAGGTCCCGAATCTGGACCACACACTCTGACTTGAAATATATTTGAATGGGAAAAAAAAAGGAACAAGAGATAGGTAACTCCACTCTAACATGGGCTGAGATGACGAGCAAATACTTTGGGCAACTGGGACAGCTCCAGACCTCTTTCCTTGCCAGGACTCCCAGGGCAGATGTGGGTGATACAGACCATTTGCCTGACCATTTTCCATCAACAGCCTTGCATGTCTTGTTCTGGTGAGCTGGCAAGGTACAGAAACCAGTTCCTGGCAAAGCTCAGCAGGACACTGCAGCAATGCCTGATGGCAACTGTAATCCCCCACAGGCATTCCAACAAATACCATGTCAGTAACTCCAGCGCTGCAGACTCCATTTCGAATTACACAGATACTGAGCTGAGATCTTGGTACTCTTGCAGCCACCACCAGGCAGATTCACCCCCTCCCCCCGAACCAACCACAATTACTCGGTAGAGGACATAACACTTATAATATATATAAATATGTTTTAAAAGCTGTTAATTAACATGTTCAGAGTAAAATTTTGTTGTTTTTTAAAGGTTTAATGTTCACTCGTAAGAAGGTCAATGTCAGCAAAATGGAGCACAATGAAAATAGACAAGAATATGGATGTATACCGTCTCATAAGCAACGCAAAATGGAATATAAGCAAACATGAGCACAATAAATTGACTTATAGCATATGTGATCCTGTATTTACTTCTTGAATTTCATAACTTTTTAGTCTGTGGGTTGAAGCACAAACATTTTAATAGCTGTGTTCATAAAAAGCAAACAAACATCTTGATAATCTTATTGATCATGGGAACTACAGTATTATAGCAAGTAGTCATAACCTACAAACAACATGCTTTTCAACAGCCTATGCAAGGTTGGTAAAAAAGTTTAGGCGGCTTCGTTTGTTCTTAAACCCATAACAGATTTTAAAAACAGTAATTTATAAGGTAAGAAATTTCAACTGACTTCCTATGTAAATACTGATTATTTTGTTCATAGATCAAAACCATGTACGATGTAAGAAGAAAAAAAATAGAAAATAATCTCATGAAGTATCAAGTCTACTGTGCAATGCTTTAGGGATATGTTTGATAGTTGATAAATAATTCATCTAATTTAAATGCAAATAGCAGAACATCATTACCATATAGATCGGTTCAATAATTTCTAAATGAAAGATCATACGTACTCATCAACTACCAGGAGAATTTCCACCTACAAAATGAAAGTTAACTGTTTAGTGGGGAAGAAACAGTCAATTAACAAAGAACCAAAAACCCCATACAGTTGTTGGGTAAATTTCCACTTATATACTTGAAACTAGTTATGTTTGTATACATCAAAATGGAGAACAAGGATTTCGTGTAAAATATGGTAACCCTTTCTGTATCAAATTCTATAGAAAAGTCCCCTCTCCCACACACAAAACAATACGCAATAAAGAAAGTGTTTACTACTGTGCCTTTGTTTTGCCAATGGACTGATTTGTGTCAGAGCGGCTGAGGTTAGTTTAAATAGTTACACTGAGATGTTTTGCAGACTTGGCCAGAAAGGTGTCATATAAGATAATTCCCGTGAGGTCCTTGAATTCTGTGAAGACATCCACTGATGAAAATCAACGTAACTGTAAACTCTCAATGAAGTAAAGCTGATGCTGTCTGGATGTGAAGAAGCACAGTATAGGAATCTATTGCAACGCTAGCGAATTTCTTCAGCCTCTGGAGAAAAATATTAGCAACTCGAAACATACATATCGACTATATGCATACACTGGAATATTAACTCTTCCCCATAGGCAAAATTGATTAGTAGCATGCCATCAGTTAATGTTCTATGATTGTTTTCATATATGTGAACACCTTTTTCCACTTTTTCCTGTTGTTTAATGTAATCCAAATATAAATACATTCTCCAGACACAGATATGACATTAATTTGGTGTAACATTCAATCAGTGTAAAATACTATTACAATAATGCTACATTTGCAAATTAGGAGCCTTTAAAAATACACTATTATATGGCATACGATGGTATTTAAAAACAGAATAGTAAAAAGCAACAGTCCCCTGCTGCTTGGGAACAGGGATGAATTAATTATGCAGAATGGATGTGTGTGCGGGGTGGCTCTTGGTCTAACTCTGCATAGCCTTTAGGATTCACTCAGGCATGCATTACCTGAATTACGTGACCACAAGCAAAGCTGGCTGGGTTTCATTCCAATACCTCATCGGTTACAAACACAAACTTTAATTGCAATTCGTTACATGCTTTTGCCCGTATGTGATTTGTCTCACTAAAATACTGTCTCCCCAGGCCAAATAAAGAAGCTGCTCTTCTCAAAGGCATATTTCAAATACAATGAAAATAAATGGAAGTTAACGGCTAGAGTGGAACAAGTCTTCTTTGCACACACTTTCCAATTTCTGTATTCTTAGATGTCTCTGTTATGCAGGTACAATGCTTTTAATGTGGCAGACGTGCCCAAGTTTATAGCCATCAAAAAGCTTGCACAGGCTACTGAAAGCAGCTAATATTGGGAATGATTACAATCAGTAATTAAGAAAATCAGGTAACTGTCCAATTCTTAAGGGCTGCCTAAACACAGAGCAATCACACATGCTTCACAGAGGTTACCATGAACTATGTAACTTAATGGCATTTATACATTTTCCACACTCCAATATTAAAAAGAAAAATTTCAACATCTCTGCTATTTATGCTTGTCCTCAGTGCTCCTCAATAATTACTGGTCTTATGGCACTGCTCTATTACATTTTGGATTCACCCTTCCCCCAACACTGGCAATGGTATTGAATCTTGATGAGCTAATGCTGAAGAGTCAGTTTCAAGCACCAAACTACCTAGCCTGCATTTTTATGAGCTTTTTGTGGTTTAAATATACTGTCACAATAGTAGACCACAACATAAACCAGCAGCTATTTTGATTTTGTCTTGTCTACACTAATTTTAGATGTTTGATACAAAATACATACCACACCCAAATCAGAAATCTAACTCATGTTCTATTGGCCAAGGAATTCTTTTGTGACAGCTTATTATGACTTTACATTCACTATCTTAATTATCTATATGAAATAAAAACAATAGCTATTCTGCTTGACATTTTAACTCATCTATCCCTGAGGTGTGCACACACACACACTCCCCCTCAAGCACCCATTTGCAGTATTTTTTGAATAATCCTTTTGAAAATTTTGATAGTCTCTCTATTTGGACCTTGCCTGATAGTGTCTGAGTAAATTTTATTTTCTGATTTTAGATCAAGTGCTGAACAGTCTAGCTAGCCAATAACTCTCATACTGATGTCACCTACGTATGTGTCACTTCCTAAAGGCAGGAAAATATTCAGCCAGGTAAAAGCCTACACTTTTCAGTGTAGGTCATCACAATAAGCAAGATGATGAAAATTAAGGGAGTTACAGCTTCAGCCAGAAACAACTTCAACACCTCAGATGCTGCACAGCTTAGACTAGAGTACAGAAGTAATTTAATGATTTGATGATGCAGGGGATTTCTCTGCTCCTGCCTTTTGCCTTTACTTGAACCCGAACTGCGCAGGGAAGTGGCCGGAGCCATTACTGTGCCTGGCACAGGGCTGCCATGTGAGCGGACCATCTCATGTATGTTGAGGCTGTTGCCAGCAAGAGACTGGGGTTGGTATTCAGCTCACAAATTGCTCATTAGGCAGATTTAGCCTCCTGAAGGAAACCTGCTTGCCATTTTACAGACCAAATGGAAAGCAGAACAATTTTACACCTCAAAAGACCACAGAGAGCTACAGGGCAAAGCTGCTGAGCCAAGCTCACAAAACCTTCTTGATGGTCATGAAAATTAGAGTAGGGAAACGGAAAAGGGATGACTGAATTATTCCATTCAGTGCTCCATGCTTAACCTGAACAAAAACAGCTCTTGGAAGTCTGCATGCTATGTTTTAATTCTAATCATGTCCTGAAGAGAGAGATTTTAAGCAAGGGGAACTGCAGGGGCTGAAACTCTGGATCTGATGTGCCTTAGCTCCAGGTGAAGAGGGAGCACAATTCTCCACACCACGTGCTTTATATCTAATGTTTTACCACTCAACGCCGTAAGTGTGCCAGAGTGTGAAGCTTTAAATCCTGCCTACTGAACAAAGACAGGCAAAGCTTTTGTTCAGCTCCAAGAAACTCGCAACACTAGGTCCAGCATTTGGAGCCAAAAGAGCAAAGAGAGACAGTGGGGTAGACTAGGCTGTGGCAAAAAGAACTAAAAAACAACTCCAAAACCAAACACAAATCCAACAAGAAAACAAAAAAACAACACTGTTGGGATGAAAATTATTTTTAATTCTTCATTTAGCAGACAGGTCCAAAGCATGGTGACCACACAACTTCCAGTATTTATTTCGAAAAATCATGTTTCAGCCATTCAAAATATAAACACACTAAAGAAAACCACCAGCACTGCTTCCGAGAGCAAAGGCTGTCAGGCAAATGTGATTTTTTTCTTTGGGGTTACTCTTTAAAAGTGCCATACCACCATGGAAATTGATACAAGCACTAATGCCTATTACACATTAGCGTGTAATGCAGTACAGCATACTGATTATACAACACGCTATTGTTCAATAAACTGTTAAGCAGTAAAACACTACTTAGGAAGGCCATATGCTTGTCAGGGAGATTGTCAGGAGAAACTGTTAGTCATTTTAATGAGAGGGAAACAAAACTAACTCCTCCCAAAAGTGAGCTCTCTTTCTCAAGGTAAATTAATGCCAATTAGCTCCATTCTTTCATCAATCTTCCTAAATGCAGTTTTTCAGATAAAGCTATAGAAAAAGGAGATAAATCTCTGACTTGCATGTGCTGTTTTATGCTAACTGAAATAAACAAAGGTTACTTCACTACAGAGTGCAGTGGCAGACAATTCAGATCATAAATACAATGGCAATTAAGAAAAAAAACCCCTCACAAAATAATGGTGCTTTTTCCTTCAACAACGTACTCTTCTTCCAATTCTGTCTGCTTTGACAAGTCAAACAGATTAAAGCAATTGCAACTTATTTTCCCCTCAAAAATGTAAATAATTTAAACTGCTAGTCATAAGAATTATAGAAAACAGTGGAAAGAAGGCTTCCTGAACAAAGTGGAGAGGATTTGACAGACAACAGGTCATTTTTTTTTCACTTCATAAAGATAAATCTAGTTTTAATTGCAAAGTTTGTAATCCAGTTACATTTTTGACATAGGAAGCAGATGCACAACCACACACAACTACATGGGCTGCAAGTAACTGGGCTCAAAACACTTGTCCAGAAAAGAAAAATTCGTGCGCCCCTTTCCATACACTACTTCAAAAGTGCTGTCAGTAAAACCCTCACTGGCAGTATCAGCATTTGTGAGTTCCTCAAGTACCACCTGTTGTTGGAGTGGGAAGCCGGATCGGCAGTAACAATATGGTCTCAATATGAGTAAAATCGTTCTGCTTTATTAGTCAGCAAAACAGGGTTTATATAGCAAAACAATTACAGCCTCTGATTGGTTAGTTACCCTTAACTATATAAGCGCAAAATTGCTATAACTCGCTGCGATTGGTGCAGAGCTTCATGTCCATGCGGAAGCGACGATAAGGCAGGAAGCGGCGAGGAGGCAGGAAGCGGCCGGGCGGGAGGCCCCCCTGCGGCCCCCGTCTCTGGT